TCACCTGATGGTAAGTGATTACCACCACCTATGAGCACCCGCAATACCAGGGGAATTTCAAGTACATTGTCGGCCTTTTAAAAAGGAATAAGCTCTTTTCTTGAAGGCTTCAATATCGTATCGGAATACCATTGCTGGAAGATGATACCACAATGTGGTTGTGCGTGGCAAAAAGTTTTTAGAAAACCGCTCTGTGGAGGCCATTCATCCAGATGATCAGGATGATATTTTCTGGCGGGTGGTACGGTGGTAAAACTCAGCAGCTGGTATTAATCCGAACAATTCCTCAGAACACTCCCCGTGATATATGCGATAGAAAATGCACAGAGTTGCAATATCTCGCCGCAAAGCCAATGGGTCGAGTCTGTCACATAGACGTTGATTACCAATGGTTCTGGTTGCTCGGTTCTGAATGCGGTCAAATGGAAGTAGCTGGCATTGTGGTGCTCCCGTCCAGAGATGAGAACTGTATTCTATCTTGTAAATTATACACGGCCACATATGGTCGCCAACTTTCTCGCTGATCGGAGCATCGAGATCTTTGTCGATGGTGCTTGCTCCGACCCACATTCTGTGAATGCTGGTGTTCCACAAGGCGGTGTGCTATCTCCGACTCTGTTCCATCTGCATATCAATGACATGTTACAGATCACCAGCATTCATTGCTATGCGGATGATAGTACCGGTGATGCCTTGTACAGCGGCCATGCTAATATGTCGCAGCCAAAAGTTACAGAGTACCGGAATAAACTTTCAAGGTTCTAGAGGGGAAACTCTGAAACTAATGAACTGATTTGGAATATCATTTTAGTGTTGGATAACACGTTAAATGAGGAAGGCTACAAGATATAGACCATTATGCTACCAGTAAGACTTAAATGAATTGTATAACAAGTATTATATCCAATCATCATTATCATCATCATCGCAGCCAGGAAGACGTCCAATGCTGGACATAGGCCTCCCCCAAAGATCTCCACGACGATCGGTCCTGCGCTATCCAATATCCAAAATTAAAAGAATATTACACTTTGTGTTAAAAAAAACTGAGACAAATAAACAATCTGATGATCCACCGCAAACAGTAATCGTCGATCAATAGGAGTCTTCTAAAGTAAACGAGATCAATGTCGATATATTATTCGAGTTTACGCTGAACTTAGTTTCCTTGAACTTTCTGATGATGACATGTTTAAAAACAAATTAGGATTTAAAAAAAAAGTTCTTTCTGATACTGCGATTGGTGAAATCCAACCTAAATTAGTTGTATAACAGATGTTGTATAAAAGTGTGATATCCACAAGCTGTATATAGGTTGAAAGTCAGCTTGTTGAACATATCAAGTACATAACTGAACAGAGTTTTAATGAAAAATGTTACCAAACGAGGGAAATGTGTCACAGTACAAGGGTTTGGTTGTAGCATTTACACGATAAATCTTGTCTTAATATATTATATAGATATATCGATAGATCGGTGGTGTAGAGGTTTAGCACATCGCTTTACTTTCGAGATCGGGGGTTCGATTCCTCGCACGGTGCTAACATTTGTATTCATGAGCATGATTGTTTTTATCGGTTTATGTGTTTTCTATGTATATACAATACAACTAAGTACTTATATCAGTTGTCTGGTAATCATAACAGCTCTGCTTACCGTCGGACTAGACGGCACTGTTTTATATGTTCTGAGTTATTTATAATTATTATTATATTAAAAAACGTATTTTATTTTATTTTATATTATACATATTATTTTCAGGAAGGGTATATTTCTTAAGGATCGGCAACGCGCACTTGACACCCCTGTTGCTTCAGGCGTCCATAGGCTACGGTAACCATTTACCATCAGATGGGCCGTATGCTTGTTTGCCACCGTAGTATATAAAATAAACGTAGTAACACTATGTGAATAGAGCTTTAGAAATAATATTGTTATCTTTAATTCAAATAATAAGGCATTTCCACATTATACAAACTTCAATGAAATAATCTTATTTTTCACGTTTCAAATGTTTTTGTGATAATTAGACTTACATTTTGATAGAGCGGCGCCTATTATCGAGATTTGAATTCTTTGTATATTTAATAATAATAAGTAGTTGGTAGGTTGCCATCTCCTCTCCTTAAGAGTGGAGATGAGATTTCTTTTGGAAATATAAAAAATAGTAATAAAAAAAAAATAGGCATAAAAATCCACTTAAAAATTATCCATCCTCATCATTCATAATTTATACTGTCATTGTTTGGTGATTTTTACCCGCAATGATCAGTCTATTACCCCATCAATGGGAGATATATAATATACATATATAAAAAAAATAATAATAATAATAGAATTGCGGAAGTTCATTTTATTTAATAACCCTGGACAAATGATTCTGCGACATCTAGTCCCACGGTAAGCGGAGCTTGTGTTATGGGTACTAGACAACTGATATATATATATTACTTATATGTACGGAACACCGTACTATAATAATCATATATAGCCCGGGGGGAAGGTAATTGTTAGTAATGTGGTCTCATGACCCCATTACTAGCAATATACCATGTCAGGTTGACCTCCACGCGGTTCCCTCTGGAAACTATCGTTATAGATTCCCGGTGAATTTGTCACGATGGGCTAACTGATCTGACTTCATGGTCATCTTATCATCCTCCACTGGTGCCCCGCCAGCGTAAACCATTAACTCAGGCGGGCGCTCCATTCCATTGTCATCCATAAAAAAAAATCATACATAGTATATCACTTACGTAGCATATATCTTTTTATTACATATTATTATACAAAAAATCATAGTGTAACATCAAGCACTCACTACGGGACATATCTTTTAGTGATCATACCAGTAGATTATCAATTGTCATTATCAACAAGTGTAGGAAAAAGCCCTACAATTTTTTTTGGTCCCTCAAATATTGATCCAGTGAAATATCAGAACATAGAGAACATATATATATGATATTATCCAGTAAGCAAGCCAGTAATACAACCTGCTTATACTAAGGAAATTTTCGGAACATGGAACACCTAGTGTTAACTATATATTGTACAAACAAACCTAAAATTTGTTTCACGAATACAACAGACTGTTTCCATCTGCTCCGATGGAACAGTTAAATCTGATTTAACCATAACACAAGATAACATATTTCACATCATATTTACCCATAAAAGTCCATGCGATGGTTAACATCAACAAACAGACGGAATCTCTACACTTCTTTCATTGTAATAATAGCATAGCTATTTATATATTACAAAGAAATTTAAACGTTTTATGAACCAGTATGTACATCAGTTTATTTTGTATACAAATTGATTTTTATAGTTTATCTATACATATAAATAAAATTGGAGTGTCTGTTTGTAATATTGAAATAACCGTTTTTTACTACATGCATATGAATACGGTAATCGGTATAAAATAAATACGGTACATCACCAAAAAACCACTTTTTACAATTTTTGTCTGTTTGTCTGTCGGTCTGTTTGTTCCGGCTAATCTCTGAAATGGCTGGACCAATTTTAACGGGTCCTGTTTTTGGCAGGTAGCTGATGTAATAAGGAGTAACTTAGGCTACATTATATTTTAGAAAAATAAAGCTGAATTCCACGCCAATAAAATTCCCGTCAAAATCGGTCAAGACATTTCAGAGATTAGCCGGAATAAACAGACCGACAGACAGACAGACCAAAATTGTAAAAAATGGTAATTTAGCTTATATACTGTATTTATATTCATATGCATGTAGTAAAAAACGGTGATTTCAATATTACAAACAGACACTCCAATTTCATTTATATGTATAGATGTATTGATAAAACTCTTAACATGATAAGGTTATTAAATTATTTATTTATTTATTTGAGCGACCAACAAGACATACACCATGAGGTTACAATTATTATAAATTATTATTATTATTATTATTATTATCACTTGCAAAAAGTTCAGGTATACAGTGTTGACTTAATTACTGGTTATCACTGCATGTGTAAATGTTTACAAAAGTTTATATATATATCATCATAATCTGCTCCTTCCTTATCCCATTTATTTGTGGTCGGCGTAATATGTTTTTCTCTTCCATTCATCTCTGTTCGCAGTCATCTCGTTTTTACTCCCTTTTTCAACATATCATCTTCCACACAGTCCATCCTTCTCTTTTTCGGTCTTCCTCTACCCTAACCATCCACATTCATATGTAACACCGTCCTTAGGATATGATCTTCATCCCTACGTATTACATGCCCATACCACGATAGACGATTACTCTTTAACCTCTTCGACATCAGAAGTTTACATATATATATTTTTATTTTACTTTATATATGTACTAGCATTAGCCCGCGGCTTCGCTCGCGTTAATTATCCCCTTAGGGGTGGAATTTATGAAAATCCTTTCTTAGGGAATGCCTACGTCATAGTAGCTTTATTTATGCAAAGTCTCAGCCCGATCGGTTTAAAATTGACAAAGTTTCATACAAACTTTCATCCCCTATTTTAAACCCTTGGGGGTAGAATTAATCAAAATCCTTTCTTAGCGGATGCCTACGTTATAACATCTACCTGCATGCCAAATTTCAGTCCGATCCGTCCAGTGGTTTGGGCTGTGCGTTGATAGATCACGATGTCTGACCTTAGAGTTATATATATTTAGACTATGCAATGATTAAGATACAGTGAAGAGATAAAAATTGACACAAACATTTATATATATATTTGTAAAACTCAAATAACCGCCTTATTGCTATAAGCTTATATTAGCAGTCACGGCATATGCTAAGTGTCAAACATGCCAACTAGGATTATATATATATATATTGTATTCTAATTTTGTATAATTGATGTAATTGTATGTTTTTTTTTTAATTATCTACAATGTAAATAATAAAAAGAAATGAAAAAAGAATTATTGTTTATGTTTCTTTTTAATAATTTTGCAGTGCAATTAAAAATACTTCAGGAAGTGTTGGTGTATCATCAAAGGTTTCTACTTGAATCGCAAATATAAAGTGCCATTGGCAATAACTGCACCCGTAGGGTTATATACAACTGTACCGACACCTTTCGCGCGTTGAAACGGCAGTGGATAAGGTATGTCATCATTCGGTATAGTAATATTACTGAAATAATATTTCCCCTGAAAACATAAAAGTGTATATAATATCAGCTAAAATTTAAAATCTCTTTAAGGAAAATTATATTAAATAGACAGAGACAGCTCTTGGATAGCGGCGACAAATCTCGACATAAAATGTGTTTTTTTTTGTGTAGATACACATGCATTGCATGCATGTCACGTGTCCAATAATATCCGTATGGATATTATTATTATTTATGTAGTAATTTGTTAAATTTTTATTTCATTATGTTGTGGTATTGTTATGTAGCACGTGTGATTAAGTACGCCTGCGTAGGTACAAACTGAAAACCAGCGCTCCAGCAACACCCATCAGTCCAGCAATAGCTGAGTTTGTACCTATTGCCAATCATGTTAAATATGTATAAATGTGTAGCTGTGTAACTGTGCTGATGTTGGCAATAAATGGATTTATTATTATTATTCTTTATTTTTTCTCAGCTATTGCTGGTTTTCTCCACACTTACGGGCCGAAACCAAGTAAGTGCAGAGTGTGTGTATGTGTGTGCGCGTGTATGTATGTGTGAGTGTGTGTGTACTTATTGTGTGCCTGGTGTGACTGGTGTTATATCATTTTCATCGATTTCGATTATTATTATTATTATTATTATTATCAGTCATACTCGTGAACGAGTGTTTGTAGGGACTGGTCTGCTCTTATCACTACGACTGATTTAATCTTATTGTGTTTTTATATTTGAGCCTAAATAAATTAGTGCTGGTTGGTAGTTTGTATTCACACGTTTCGACTTGTAAAATGCGAACTTACAAGGATTGTTTAAAAGAGCAACACACAAGTTTCTTGCATATTCTTCTTGTGACGAGACAGAATTCCGAATGAGCGGTAGATTTAAAAAAAATTGTTATGGCTATTCATAAGGGCTTAAGTTAAGTTTATTTGAATAAATGATTTTCTATTCTATTAAAAAACTTGAATATTATACTTTTTTCCTTAACAGTCTTTTACGCCGTCCGATTATTTTCAATGCCAATTAAATAAGAATATGTTTATATATATATATACGTCTTTAGCCTTAGTGGTCTAGAGGTAAAATACACCGCTTTTCTTCCGATGGTCGCGGGTTCGATTCCTAGCGTAAACATTTGTATTCATGAGTATGGTTATTTGTATCGGTCTAGGTATTTTCTATGTATAATATGTATTTATTTACGAAAAAAAGTATATGTATTTGTATCAGTTATCTAGTGACAATAATACAAGCTTTAGCTACTCTAACTTGCATGCATATTGCATATTCAGTAGGTCCTAAGTGATAAGGGTTGGCCACCCCTAACATTTTTTTTATTATTTGATAAGTTTTTTATTTATATTTGTTTAACAACCCTAAATTTTCACCATTCTATCATCAACCCCTATTTTTTTATAGCGTTATTAATTTATATGGCAAAACAACGTCTGCCGCGACAGCTAGTAATAATATAATTTTTTTTCTATTATTTTTATTAAGAATGATTTTAATTAACAACATTTTGGTAACATTAAGATTAGAGTGAAAATGTCGCTGCACGCGATCGCACCACCGCTGGGCTGCTATTGAAAATCAGTGTTTTGCTCGTTGAGCAAATTCTTCACTGAGTAGCTCATCCCTTTCTTATTTTCTTTCCCTGTGGCACCTAATATGTATTTTAATGTTTATTTTACGTTCTTATTTCATGTGTAAGTTAAAGTGTTATGTGTTTTTTTTTATTATTATTATGTATTCTTTTTTTGCACTTGTTAATTTAATTTTTTTTGTATTCTCTTAGTTTGTGTTATCTAGATACGAATAAAGAGTTTTATCTACCTATCTAATTATTAAAAATCGTTAGTTCGAGAAAGACTGAAATCAACAAAATAAATTTTAAAATTTCAACAGGAAAGACTGTTTCAAATTGTCTAGCATTTAGGTATACCAAACAATCATACTCGTGAACGTTTGTACCGTGAATCGAACCCGCGACCATCGGATGTAAAGTGGTGTGAAACCGCTACACCACCGAGACTGTTAATAGAAATACATATTTTAATAATACATTACCGCTTCAAGAGGGCATTTCACACCAGCATTGGCTATGAGTTTACCAACATAAGGATCATCGTTGACCATATCACAGAACCGGTAGTGGAACTCCATGAACGAAGGCTTATATTTATTGTTTTGAAATTCAAAAACTGTGACGTCATACTAAAATAAAAAATAGTTATTAAGTTTTTATTGAATACATTAGTACACAAATATATTTATTACTAGTATTTACATAACCTAATTGTACAACTAAGAACATAAAATTAAAAAGCTTAAAAATATAATGTGACGACTAAAATATATTATTAAAAGGGGTCCCTTTAGGCAACGTTCCGAAGATACTGGCAGCGTTCCCTCTTTGAATGGCTAGACTAATTCTTTGTCCAAGGTAGCTGCCAGCTTCTCTCTTATTAAGTTACATATGAATTTTTTATTTATTTAAGCTTTGCATTCCATAATTTTACAGTAGATAGATAGACAGGTACATTTCAAAGTAGGTTAATTATGAACCCTGGTGGGCAGCAAGCGGAAGAGAAGAGAGGAGGACGAGTTACTTTTTATATAATATATAATAATAATAATAAAAATAGTAATAATTAATAATTTGAAATTGTATATATTTAATTACTAAAATTGTATAATGTTTAATTCAATAAGCAAATGGCAATAGTTGTTCATGCACTGAATTTTCATTTAATGTTAGACATAGACACCTATATAAATATACATTGTAAATAAACTGGCTTTAAAAAAAGTAATTCAATTGAGTTTCTTGCCAGTTCTTCTCAATTGGATCTATATACCAAACTGGACGGTAGGGAAACAAAAATAATATTAGAATGTAAAAATTTGACGTTCATAAGTGGCTAAAATGTCCTACATGAATAAATGATTTTTGAATTTGAATTTGAATTTGAATATATCATTTTTATATTTTAAAATTGTATAATGTTCAATTCAATATGTCATTTTTATATTCTAAAATTGTATAATATTTAATTCAATATGTCATTTTCATATTCTAAAATTGTATAATATTTAATTCAATATATCATTTTTATATTCTAAAATTGTATAATATTTAATTCAATATATCATTTTTATATTCTAAAATTGTATAATATTTAATTCAATATATCATTTTTATATTCTAAAATTGTATAATGTTTAATTCAATATGTCATTTTTATATTCCAAAATTGTATAATAACATTTTTTAATCAACAATGTCTTGAGATTTCTTATAAATATTTTATCATTTTTTATCTCTTTTAATGAAATTGCATTGCATGCGTTAATAATATTAGTAAATATTAATGGTCATAATTATACTGTACCGTCACATTGTTAGCCCAGGTATGTTTAATATCTCCATATAAATTAATTGCATACACCCCTTTGGCCAATGTCGTCAAATTTATTCCAGCGTCCTCGATGTATTCAGGGTTAATATAATCGATTTCAATTTTTTCAGGCATTATACGAAAGCACTGTTGATAAGAATAGAAAAAAAAAAAGGATTATTTTATCATAATTACTTATGAGTCTTTAAAATATTATATAAACGTATAACACACATAGAAAAAACAAAGTAGGTTTGTGGTACGTGTTTCTACTTTTATACTAAAAAAAATATATTTTTTTTTATTTTATAATGTTCCCTTAAAACGGTCTGAATTCGATTTTGAATAGAAAATACTTTATTCATTAAAGTATTTTTGAACACTCATTACTTTTGAAAGAAGAAAAAAAGAAAGAAAAATATTTTATTCAGTGCTTTTCAACAAAGTCACAATATAAAAATAAAAAAAAAACAAATAAAATGTATATATATATATATATATTATATTAATATTTATTACATAAATTCAAATCAACCTAAAAAATCTATACATATAAATAAAATTGGAGTGTCTGTTTGTGATATTGAAATTACCGTTTTTTACTACATGCATACGAATATAAATACGGAACATACACCAAAAAACCACTTTTTAAAATTTTTGTCTGTCTGTCAGTCTGTTTGTTTCGGCTAATCTCTGAGATGGCTGGACCAATTTTAACGGGACTTTTTTTGGCAGGTATCTGATGTAATAAGGAGTAACTTAGGCTACTTTTATTTTAGAAAATTAAAGTTAAATTCCTCGCGGACGAACTCGCAGGTGCAGCTAGTAGTAAATAAATAAATAGTGAAAATGTTGAACTTACGTAAACATTATATACATATAACAGAACAACTTGCAATAGAAATATTTTTTTTTTAAACATTTCGACAATTATTTCCAAAGAGAATTATTTAATAATTTAAACTGTGGACCGTAGTGTCCGACTGTATGTATCATACAAGGCATTTAAAACTTAGTTTAGCAAACCATTACAAAAATAATTACAAATGGATGAGTTTGAAGAGATTTCAATCAGAAATGATTGATGCGAGATGACCTTACGTTTCGAAGGTTCCGTATCAATCAACGAACGAGATGTCGCTGTGTTAAAAGTAGATGGCGATATAAATTCGTTTTGTTACAACGAGTATGTATACTCGAAAGTGTAAGACATTTTCTCCCCTCAGATCGATCCCCCGTCCAATTCAAACTTGGATCGATATTATGACGGCCTGAGCCGAGGTTCGAACCCCTAGCGGTGCCCTCAGATTGAAGTCGTATCCGTCAGGCGGGAGTTGGCCTTCAGCCGCTCTATAAGTCCTTCCGCGGGTTTGGAGTGCCATCTGCACTCGCCCCCTATCGTCCGGTGAAGCTGTAAAGGCCAGCTGCGGCCAACAGCATTAGAGTAGTCCGAAAAAAATATATTTTCTAGAAATAAACCGTATTTTTACATATTATATATACATATAAATAAAATTGGAGTGTCTGTTTGTAATATTGAAATAACCGTTTTTTACTACATGCATATGAATATAAATACGGTACATACACCAAAGTAACATTTTTTACAATATTTGTTTGTCTGTCTGTCTGTTTGTTCCGGCTAATCTCTGAAATGGCTGGACCTATTTTGACGGGAAAAATATGAAAATATTTATTACATAAATTCAAAGCAACCTAAAAAATCTAATATATCTATCATTTAAATAAAATTGGAGTGTCTGTTTGTAATACTGAAATAACCGTTTTTTACTACATGCATATAAATACATACACCAAAAACCACTTTTTAAAATTTTTGTCTGTCTGTCTGTCGGTCTGTTTGTTTCGGCTAATCTCTGAAATGGCTGGACCTATTTTGACGGGACTTTTTTTGGCAGGTAGCTGATGTAATAAGGAGTAACTTAGGCTACTTTTATTTTAGAAAAATAATGTTAAATTACACGCGTACGAAGTCGCGGTTACAGCTAGTTATATATATATATATATAAACCATCCACTTGAGTCACTCTATCTATAAAAAAAAATCGCTTAAAAATCCATTGCATAGTTTTAAAGATTTAAGCATACATAGGGACAGACAGCGACAGCGACTTTGTTTTACATATATTTGTAATAAACTGATACCATTGTCCCTGATCTCCTACGGAACTATAAATTTACTGTCGCGTATTAAAAAACAATTACAATTCACGCGACTGTACCAAAACAACTAAATTACAAAACATATTAATATGTAATTTGTTATTATAATTTAGAGGTCATATACAACAATTATTTAAACATGTTTTGTATATTTGTTATTCAAGGCATTATTTGCCGCACTATTGACTTTAATTCGACGCAAGTAAATTACTAATTAAAAAAAAAATTGTAACATACATTAGTGTCTTGTCCCGGGTACTCTCGGGTGCTATCTGATTTTTGTTTCCGCTTGGCGGCAGAATAGACTGAAATCTGTCTTCGTTTCTATATCTCTAGGTACTAGACAATCTTCTGGCGGTATCGAGCCACTTAGCTTGAGGCGAGATTTCGCTTCGCTTTGTGTGTTTTACCGATTATATACCAGACTGTGTTCTGGGGAATTGTTCGACATGATGCCGACAGCCACCTTTTACCATCGCACCGCTCGCCATCGACAGGGAATTCATCCCCACACGCTGGAACCTAAGTGGTCCCGAACAGTGCGGTTTCAGAGGAGTTTCCTCCCGCGTACACTTAGATTGTGGAATGAACTTCATGCCGAGGTTTTCCCACGAGACTACAGCATGGGGTTTTTCTAGAAGGGTATATTAAGATTTCTTAAGGGTAGGCAACGCTCACGTGGTACCCCTGGTGTTTCAGGTGTTCATAGGCTACGGTAACCGTTTACGATCAGATGGGCCGTATGCTTGATTGCCACCATCATAGTAAAAAAAACAAGACAACTTACAAAGTCTTAGTACATGTCTATAAACAACACCGTTTGCCCAACATTATGTACCTACTTCAAAATGTTTAAAAAATATATGAAAATGAAAAATGGTTATTTATTTAAAAAAACAATTCGATTACAATAACATAATGTTGGGATGACCTTGCGCGCGTGTCCACAATGGAGTAGGGCGAAATAGGTCGCCCTAACCGTAAACGAGATGGGGCCTGCCCTACAACATCTACAGGGCGGGCCGTCGCCATCGGAGCTGGGGTGGAAATGCACATGCGAATCCTCTGACTCCAGCATAGGCGCTAGTAGGTACACCGTGTGGTTTTAGGTGAGTACAAATCTCATAAACCGCCCCGCCCTCCCTCTGGCGGGGTGATGTTCTTTTAAAGATTTTCCACACGTTAAAAAAAAAGTAAACATAGAAATGTCCGTGTCAGGTACATCCCGCTCTTCCATGTACATTGTTTGTTTTTTTATTAGATTATTTAAGATATTAGGTACCTAATATTATAAACTAAAGCAAAAGTTACTTATTAGAAGTTGAGTATAAAAATATAAGAATAATAAATTTACAAGCTTTATATATTATGTATTATATATATTTAGTCATTTTATGTTTCAATAAATCATAGATTAATCCTGATAGCTCAGAATCTAGCCCACAATGTTTAAAATGAAAGCAATGTTTAAGACTGTTACAAGTGTAAGTAATATTAGTTCACTCCGTGCAAACTAGATGGCGCCACAGGTAAATGTAGATGGCGCTATCAAGATTTTTTTTGTTTTAATGACCAATACCCTATGGTATTTTTTTTTAAATCGTACCATCCCTATTGATTGGTAGTTTCAATTGGAACCCTCTATAGCACATAGGGGTCTCTGTGAGGGATTTTCCCCAAGTAAAAAAAAATCAATTTCGATTACAATAACATAATGTTGGGATGACCTTGTGCGCGTATACCCACACGCCTCCACAATGGAGTAGGGCGAAATAGGTCGCCCTAACCGTAAACGAGATGGGCCTGCCTTACAACATCTACAGGGCGGGCCGTCGCCGTCGAAGCTGGGGTGGAAATGCACATGCGAATCCCCCGCCCTCCCTCTGGCGGGGTGACGGTCGTTTGAATATTTTCCACATATAAAAAAAAAGTAAACATAAAAATGCCTGTCAGGTACTTCCCGCTCTTCCATTGTACATTGTTTGTTTTTTTTTAGATTATTTAAGACATTAGATACCTAATATTAGCTTAGATATTACATCAGCGGTGAATTTTGTCCGCGACTCAGTTGCGTGACATCTGACAAATGACGTGTTACTGACAAACACGATTAACGGTTGAAAGCACACTTAGCATGCGTGCAATATACATAATTAATGATATGGCAAATAAATCTATACATATAAAAAAAATAGGAGTGTCTATTAATATTGTAATATTGAAATTATCGTGTACTGTATATATTTGTATAATAGTAATTTCACATCATTACATTCTGTCATGACAACTGGCCGTTTACAGACAGACAGACGTGTTCCATAGTTCACCTATAAGATTTTCTCACGTCATTCGTCACTCGCCGTATACAGCTCTGTTCCATATATACATTTTCTTGTTAATTATTATATTCTAATATATGAATACATTGATTATTTGTTGAGGGTCTCTATTGAGCAAAATAACCGGTTTTTGCTACATGCATATGAATATAAATACGGTACGTACACCAAAATAACATTTTTCACAATTTTTGTCTGTCTGCTTGTTCCGGCTAATCTCTGAAATGGCTGGATCGATTTTGACGGAACATTTTGGCAGGTAGCTGATGTAATAAGGAGTAACTTAGGCTACTTTTATTTTAGAAAATTTAGTAAATCTTTATTTAATTTTCATGCAGAAGAAGTACAGTTGGTAGTATATATATATACATATATTCCTACGTAGGTGGTAAACAAACATATAACCTGATGATAAACGGTTTCCGTAGCCTATAAATATCAAGGGGTATTGCTACTATGCATTGAAAAAATGATACATGTTCAAAATACATTATTTGATCAAATAAATAAATAAAAACAGACTTGTATCTGAATACAGTTGTTTGTATTGTGTGGGAATCGAATTCACTACAATTGGAAGTTAGACAGACTAAACTACCAAGGTCGCGGATCGTCTGCCAAACGAACTTAAGCTTATATTATTATCACAAATTGACTTGTTATTCACCTCATGCCACTAACGAAATTCAACCATCAAATTAAATTAATTTAGTTTTATTTACATGCAATTGGAATCGGAATCAAATCTAATCAAATGTAATCAAAAATATCTTTATTATTTATCTTATACAGATATTTTTTGAAAACCTACTGAACTTATATTTTATTCTAGCTGTTCTCGCGACTTCGTCCGCGTGGAAGTTAACTTTATTTTTTCTAAAATAAAATCATTTTTCCAAAATAAAAGTAGCCTAGGTTACTACTTATTACATTACCTACCTGCCAATAAAAGTCCCGTCAAAATTGGTCCAGACATTTCAGATATTAGCCGGAACAAAGACCGACAAAAATTATAAAAAGTGGTTTTTTGGTGTATTTATATTCATATGCATGTAGTAAAAAACGGTTATTTCAATATTACAAACAGACACTCCTATTTTATTTATACGTATAGATTTCTTTTAATATACCTACAAGTACCAAACTATTATTGGGCACGTAGATTGTAAAATTAAAAGTGCAATCCATTACATTTAAAATCAGTCTTCTTGTTGTAACAGTTATGTCTACCTTGCAATTGTAATAAAATCAAGAGTAAAGTATATTTATTTATCTCTGCATCTAATTTTACGTGGTCATTATTTTATTGGGAAGTTTCAGAAATGATACGTCGATGTAGCAGTACATTTATTTTATTCCATTTTCAAATTACACTCCACATAAATTACGTCGCTGTACATTCACGTCTGGTCGTCTCGGTCGCCTCGAACAGAGTGAGAGCAGCCCGCTCCCTCCTTGTTCCCGGCCTCTTTATCTCTATTACTATTGGTGGCGGCATAATCGTGACGTCACCAACATCACGTGACTCACTATAGTTCAAAATTTGAAATTTATGTAACAATTTAGTCAACTGAGTGTTCTTTATGTATTGAAGCTAACAATTTATACGTATAATTAATAAACTATGACCACGTTTTATGATAATGGCGGTTGAAACACTGCCAGGACACACTATCGGGAACTCAATAAAAATAAAAAGTGGTAAGATCCTGTGATTTATTAATTTTACTACTGTATATCCACTGAATATCTCCATCAACTAATTATGTATTATAGAAGATTCAATATTCAAAAGAGCAACACACAAGTTCCTTGTTCATTCTTCTTGTGATGAATCTGCATTCCGAATGAGTGGTAGAATCAAAATATGACTATTCAAAAGTGTTTGTTATTAGTGTATTTGAATGAAGATTAGTTTTGTTTTTATACTAATGAGTGTATTTTATAATCCAATTACTGCTTAAACTTAGACACAACAAAGATAATTCCATAGAAAATGTTGACCACAAATTGTCATCGAAATTTTATCTGAGCGTAAACTGATATGAATTCCATAGTCTAAACTTATCCTCTTTTTAGGGATGTTAATTATTATAAAACGATATAAACGACAATCGATAAAATCGACAATGGAGAATAAGTAGACGGCAGTTATTAAAAGCTTTCGTGTTTAACTTAAAAACTGGTAGAAGAAAAAACTGCTGGCAGTCAACTCGTGACCGCGGATAGCAACCTAGTCGAAACGTCGAGAGAGCGAGGTAAAATCTTTATTTGCCATAAAATTATTCGTTTTAAAACCTGGTTAATAGTACAAAAAAAGTTAACAGCAGTTTTTGACATATCATAAGAGTCTGTAATAGACAAGAATAAAAATATATTTAATTTGAATTTATATTAAATAATAAATCTTGTTAATTTAATTATGTAAAACAACTTATTTTATTTTTTTGACATTAATATAATAGTCAAATGTTTTGTCTCTATAAAGATTTGCAGATGTTGCCAAATGGGAGAGGAAACGCCACTACACATCCTATGTGGGTGTAGCCCATTCATGCTCAATCGGAATATCTCCTTACAACTAAAAATACACAGAAAATACACACTTAACAACATATCTCCTTATACACTCTGATCAGAGGTGATAAAAAACCAGCTCCAAAGAATATCATTCAAATCTTGTCCCTGGGTCTAGGCAGCGAACTCTAAAAAAGAGTAAGCATAATGATTTTCAGTAGGTCATAGTACTATATCTTCTAGATCTAATCTTTCAGATTAAAATTTATTCCAAATCCCTTAATGAAAGAACAATCATTCTAAATTTAAACAGTAATATGATAATTAAACAGTAATATTATCGTAATCACGTACAAGCTTATTTAAAAAGAGGTAGAGCAGAGTTTTTGTCCAGTTTTTTCGGCTTAAACTAAGTTCAAACGAAAAAACTGACCCACCGTCAGTCTATAATATATGTGATAGACCTACGTAAATAAAGATATCTTTATTTATATTCCTATATGTTTTTTCAACCTTCAATTTCATGCGTCACTTATGTATAGGCGTTTTACAACATTCCCATTCCACTACGCTATTACGCAATACAGGATTTTAGTGTCATAAGGGTTGGAATCCCTTCTAAATTCGGGATAAGGAATGATTTTCTAGAAACGATTTAATTAGGTACGGTGTTAGTAGATTGTCTTAATTATTATTGGGATAATTGAGATTCGTGTTAATTGCGTCGTTATCTTAATTAAGAAATTCACAGTTGTTTTTAGTTGGGTTTTTCTGATTTTGTCACGTCCGTTTGTTTCAGATTGTATAAAGTATTAAGTAAGACTGTATATTATATTTTTGTGTAGCAGTGAAATTCCTCTACAATCTTCTAAAATATCTTGGCCTGTCTAGAACTACAGTGAGTTCTACACTAGAACGTGTATACTAGCTTTATGTAATCTTCTAATAGATCTTGGCCTGTCTAGAACTACAGTGAGTTCCACATTAGAACGTGTATACTAGCTTTATGTAATCTTCTAATAGATCTTGGCCTGTCTAGAACTACAGTGAGTTCTACACTAGAACCTGTATACTAGCTTTATGGAATCTTCTAAAAGATCTTGGCCTGTCTAGAGCTACAGTGAGTTCTACACTAGAAAGTGTAAAATAGCTTTATGTAATCTTCTAATAGATCTTGGCATGTCTAAAACTGCAGTAGGTTCTATACTATAATAGAACGTGTATCTAAAACTGCACAAGCAGGCTTCTAGATTTGGCTGGGCTGAGAGAGAAACACGAGCGGTGAAGGTGAGTGTTTACGTATGTCCTCTGAATCCTATTATTATTATTGTTTTTTTTTTCTTATTGTATTTCTTCTATGTGCACAATAAAGAGTTTATTATTATTATTATTATCCTACACAACGGACCACAAGTCCGCAATTAACGGAAGAATTTTCAACTATATAGTAGTCGAGAATTCTTCCGTTAAGATGATCAATGTCAATTCGAAAGTATGTCTGTTTGACACATTTTGATAACTATACGAATCTTAACGAAACTGATAATTTTAATGATAGATTGTATCACGAGTACAAATATATGAAATAAATAGAAAGGTTTATATTGTTACCTTGGGGCGTATTATGAAGTCTTTAAAATCTAGTCAGTTTCCAGGCAGTTCAGTTTAAGCCGTAAACTGCCTGGGAATAAGAGTTCATAATACGCCCGCTTCACTAAAAACAACATGTCTTATATTTATATATTTTCATAAAATAAATATTATTATACATATCTATCTTATATATAAAATTCTCATGTCACAGTTTTCGTTCCCATACTGAGTCTGAGAATCGGCTAACATCTATTTTTCATCCCCCTAAATGTTAGGGGTAGTCCACCCCTAATTTTTTTTTTATTTTAAGGCAAAACAACGTTTGCCGGGAAAGCTGGTATATGTATAAATATTTAACAATGAGCAATAGAGCACTATCAATTTAATTCAATTCAATCGTTGAATCCAACTCGACATCCATACCATTGGCAGCATTCACGAGATCCGATATATCTTTTCATCCAAATTACTGCAATGTCTTAAGACGAAGAGTTGTGACCAATGCCAGGCCAGGGTTGACTTACGGCACAGAGATGTGGTCGCTAACTATGGGCCTCACAAATAGGCTTAGAGTCACTTAGAGAGCAATGGAGAGGACTATGCTTGGAGTGTCTCTGCGTGATCGTATCAGAAATGAGGAGATACACAGAAGAACCAGAGTGACGGACATAGCCCGAAGAATTGCGACATTGAAGTGGCAATGGGCAGGGCACATAGCTCGTAGGACAGAGGGCTGTTGAGGTAATAAAGTCCTCGAGTGGAGACCATGGACCGGAAGACGCAGCGTGGGAAGGCCTTCGACAAGGTGGACCGACGAACTGGTCATGATCGCTGGAAAGCATTGGATGCGAGCAGCGCAGAACCGATCGTCGTGGAGATCTTTGGAGGAGGCCTTTGTTCAGCAGTGGACGTCCGGGCTGCAATGATGATGATGATGATAAATATAACACTGTTCTTTTTGTTATACAATATTATATTATAAAGGAAATAGGTAATTTTAATATATGATTAAATTATGGGCAATAACTCAGCTACGTTTAAAAATAACAAATGAGTAACGGCAGTATATAAAAATATGCTTCAATCATAAAATGAAATACCATCCAGAAACTTTCCATATAAATATTTACATGATTTATGTAGGAAAGTCCACTACAGAGTTCATTCAACAAACAGATTAACGTAATGCTGTTTCTTTTGCGCATGTATCATTTATTTTCTCTCCGAAGATGCAACCATTCAGTCAGTGAGAGAGCTTAATTGAGGGCGGTCGCAAGCCGTCCGTTGGGATGAAAATTCCCACGTGTTAAATGTTACGAAAGTATTTTCACGTAACATTCTCGGTGACATGGCAATTTTTATATCTGTGAATTGTGTTAATTACAATACAAATGTGAATAAGTTATCTTAAAGTTAGTTTGAGTTTGAGAAAAGTCGAAATTCAAATGTCTAATTGCATTGCTGTTAACTTGTAATATAGTTTTTATTGAAGGTGTTAAATATAAAATTTCAATAACAAATTTCAGTGTGGATATTCAATTTTAAATAAGTGGAAGTGAAATTTAAATGTTGTGACGTCATACTTTTGTGAAAGTGAAAATAAAAGTTTCAAAATTCATAAACAATTACCACAAAAATGTTTACCTTCCCTTAATTATTTTGATGTTTTCTCAAGTGTGGGAAAAGTAATATAATAGTATAATTATTACTGAATAAATAGAATTCAGTGTTTAAAAAAAATCAGAAATGGTGAGAGTGAAATTTGGTAAACCGAAGTGGTTTTTTTTTTAAATGTAAACATGCATATGAAATTGTTTAAAAATTAAAACAATGTTTTCAAAGGTAACATCAAAGGACTTCAACCCTTTGCAGGGTATAAATATAAGTGCTTTTAACGCAACGTTTCAGTTCGGCAGTGAATTGGACATATTTTTTCAGCCTGAAAACGTTTTGATAACATTGTATGTGCCTATCATATTGTTATCACTGGTGGCCAACATTTTGCTCATCGTCGTTGCTGTAAAATGCAACTATACTAAGAGGTGAGTAGATTAAATCTAAATTAATTTAATCTTCCTAGAATCAGATTTTTTTAACTAGCAGAGCAAACTGTCTGACTGACTCTCAGATGGAACGTAATAATAATAATATTCTTGAATAATTCACATAACGCCATCCAGTCTCAAAATAAGTAGAGCTTGTGTTATGAGTACTAAATAATATAACAAAATACTCCCAGGGAGTCCTGGGAGTACCTCTGCACTCCCTAAGGTTGTCAGGCAGATAATGCTATTAGCATTAAGCCCGCCTATGGACAAAATTCAATAGTTTAAATAAATAAATAGCTAATGTAAATGCTTATATTTTTTTTATATAAAATACGTGCAAAATATACATAGAAAACACCTAGACTGATACAAGCAATTATAATCAGGAATAACGTTTGCACCGTATGGGGTATCGAACCAGCGACCATTGGAAATAAAGCGGTGTGCTATACCGGTAGACTACCGAGACAGTCAGGTTTCAAGTCGTTTATTATTGAACAGCTATATGGAAATTACATCATGTAGTGTCTATCCTTAGTGTTCCTCAGGAACCATCCCTAAATACTTCCAAATCGTGAGATTTCATATAGACATTTTCAAACAATCTTCTACGTTATGTATGTGTTGCAGCTCTTTGACAGCACTGCTTGCTAGCCGCTTGTAAGACATAACTAGAACGGACATAAAAGTTGAAAACAGATAGTTTTTTTTCGGACTACTCTAATGCTGTTGGCCGCAGCTGGCCTTTACAGCTTCACCGGACGATAGGGGACGAGTGCAGATGGCACTCCAAACCAAAGGAAGGACTTATGGAGCGGCTGAAGGCCAACTCCCGCCTGACGGATACGACTTTAGTCTGAGGGCCTGCTAGGGGCTAGGGGCGTCGTAATACAAATCCCTGTTTGAATTAGACGGGGGATCGATCGGAGCGGTCTATAGATGCATATATAATACAATATACACTACTACTTCACTGATACAACATATACAACATATACAGATATAATAGGATTTTTTTAAATATTTTATTGTAGCTTGTTTTTATTCATCACTAGCTGTTCCCCGCGATTTATTCTGCGTGGAATTTAACTTTCATTTTCTTTTCTTGTATGTTTACCGTATTCTATCGAAAGCACATTGTTTTGTTTCCCGTCTTTGAAAGGTAAGGTCAGATATGGCAGTGTAATTACAGCATTCAGAGGCAGAACAACTTCGTCTTCAGGAATGATAATACATCAAAAGAATATCGCAGTCCTGCTCTTTATCTCAGATATTTTACGTCAGCAATAATTAATATGAATATATTTTTGTACCTCTCTTTCGTGGCCACATACCAAAAAACAATGCGCTGGCATTCCTTTTGGTATACACTTACAGTTATGAGAAATAATAAATTCAAATTCAGATCTAGGTAGGTCTATTATAGACTCTTATGATATGTCAAATCTACCGTCAGTTCGGAATGATATCGAGATGAGAAGAACTGACAAGTAACTCAGCTCGTATTTTTTTTATAAATGTTGTACATATTTACAATAATACTATTTCATTTAAATTCAAATTTGGGAGCATAGAGGGACCACCAGCATATGCTAAATAAAAAAAAAATTAAATATCTAATCAATGTTCGCAACCTGAACAGACCAGTCCCTACTAGCAGCACCCGATCACGAGTATGACGGATGAGCCAGCCATCATTGCACTAAACCATATTAGAGGGAGCACATCGACCCGGCCCACCACGCCGCCACAAGTCTGGACATTTTAGTGAGCATGACTACTCAAAACACCAGACCACGTCATAGCTACTCACAATTGCCATCTGATGGTTATCGCCGCCACAAGTTTGAACTTTATAGCGAGCATGACTGTTTCAAGTTACTCCACTACGTCATCTATATTATTTACAGCATAAACTGTACCAATCACAGTTTTCACCCATTACAATATTTAATTTACATCATTTAAATATGTTTACATTGTTTATATACAAATACTAATAATAATCTCAGGACAATTCACACAGCGCCATCTAGACCCAAGGTAAGCTAACTAAAGCTTGTGTTATGGGTACTACATAACTGATACAAATACATCGATTTTTTTTTTCATAAATACATAGTATACATAGAAAACACCCAGATATAAGCAATCATACTTATGAATACAAATGTTTGTGCGCAAAATGCGTTCGAGGAATCGAACCCGCGACCATCGGTCGTAAAACGGTGTCGAGACCGCTCTACCACCGAGGTCGTAAATGGCAAACGTTTAGTAAATTTATATTTATAACTTAATTTATTTGTCTCTTTTTTGCGAGCCGTTTTCCTAATGTGAAAGAAAGAAAAAATAATGTTATAATAGTGAGATTAAATATAAAACTTTTAGAAAATATTTCTAGACTAACTGTTGGTGGCAACTTGTCCACCATTTTTTTTATAAAGTCTACATTATTTTTATTTTATGTTTTGATTTCTTCATCACTTTTTGATTTCTTCGCTGTGAGCCCTATAAGGAAATATATATATTAATTACAATTATTAAAGATTTTTAGAATAGAATAGAATAGAAAATCATTTATTCAAAAAAACTTACATTGAAGCACTTTTGAATAGTCATCACATTTTTTTTAATCTACCGCTCATTCGGAAAGCTATCCCATCACAAGAAGAAAAGAAAGAAACTTGCGTGTTGCTCTTTTAAATAATTTTATTCTTACTTTATATTTTTACTTTATAGTTTAAGTGTGTGAATACAAACTACCAATTAGCACTAATTCAATGAAATACTCAAATAGAAAAGATATTGAATATACAACCATCTGGTAAAACAATTAAATAAGAGGAAATCAGTCGTAGTGATTACAGCAAACTAGTCCCTACAAGCAGCACCCGTTCACGAGTATGACGGATGAGTCAGTCATCGCTGCGCTCGACTTCATTAATTGTGGTTGTGTCCCCACTCTAGACTCACTAACATTATAAAGATAATTATTATACTGTTCGTTTGTTTGTGAATTTTGAATAAAAAAGAATATTACGAATAAAGATATTTATATTACACGAGCAGGATCAGGGGAAGCATTTAGATAAAAATAAAGAATTGAAGTTAACCAGTTAACTTTCAGATTATTTTTTGAAATAGCCTATACCTTCTGCATGTTAAATATTGTTAAAGATCATTAAAGCGTTTGGCCTTGAAAAGGTAACAAACATAAAGACAGACACACGTTCTAATTTATAATCTTATATATATATATAATTCTCGTGTCGCAATGTTAGTTACTAAACTCCTATGAAACGGCTTGACCAATTTTTATGAAATTTTATATGCATATTCAGTAGATCTGAGAATCGGCTACTATCTATTTTTCATACCCCATAGTGATGAGGGCTGTCCACCCGTAACATATTTTTTTATTATGTGTTAAATACATACAACCCAAAATTTTCACCCTTCTATCACCAACCCCTATTTTTTTATAACGTTATTAATTTTTATATCAAAACAACGTTTGTCGGGAGAACTAGTGTTACTATGTATAATTACTTAATTGTAATAATTAAATAATAAAATATATTTTTCTAAATATTATTACATGCTTCCTCATTTACAATATTAGTATGGGTAAGAACTTAATTTTTAAACTTTCATGTTTAATATACATTATTTAAATTATAAACCGGGTCTTAACACGAATGATTTTATGGCAAATAAAGGTAAACTCAGCTGTGGTTACTAGCCGTGGTCACGAGCAGACCGAGCACAATACTCAGCTCGTGACCACGGCTAGTAACCACGGCTGGGTTTACTTTTATTTACCATAAAATCATTCGTGTTAAGACCCGGTTTATAATTTAAATAATGTATATTAAACATGAAAGTTTAAAAATTAAGTTAAATAATGATTTAAATAATGACTTAATTTGTATTATTAAATAAAGTATACACGTACTTGTAAGTATCTTTATTTACATGTAATTTGTAAGCCTTTGATTTGTTAGTGGATGTTATTAGATGTCTTTCAAGATTGCTTCATAAATTAGTTACCAATTCTTGTAAATTGATGTCATCATAAGATAGTTATGATGAGACAGTTCTAATTATAGCAATGAATTATGTATTAAAACTAAATTTATTTAATTCGAGACTGAGATGGAATTAGAAAATTCTGGAATATAGACAGCTCTGTCATCTTATTCATTTATTCTTAGTTTAAGATTCAGGCTCTTGTCGTTGGAGATTTTGCCACTTTCCATGATTCTTTATTGCACCACAATACAAAAATTACAGAACAAAAACAAACAATTGAAATAGAAAATGTACATTGATTGATACAGAAGGCGATCTTATTGCTAAACAATCTTAAATGATACATTCTTTATATTATTAACCGGGTCTTAACACGAACTAATTTTATGGCAAATAAAGGTACTAGATACTGGAGTAACAGCGATGTCAATGTAGATAGGTGGCAGCAGTTTTTTCATCTACCGTCATTAGATTGTTTAACGAAAGTTCGCGACACACAGCACTCACGGTATCCGCACACTTATCGACTGTTGATGCTACTGAACTTTGCTTGAATTTATTTATGGCTGGATTCCACGCAGATGATAATTTTAAGCCATCCTCTCTGTTGAAATTGGGATGATTTTTAATTTCAATCGCCTTCCTAAGACCCGGTTAATAATATAAATACGAAAGTTTAAAAAAAAATTAAATGATCTTTCATCATGCTCTTTAAATGTGGATATCACACGACTTTAATGTTTCTTTAATTAGCTTCATGTAGCTATGCCTTGTATTTCAATCCCCGTCTTTCGTCTATTTTTCCCATAATAATATTTTTAATAAATGCATGATCAATTTTAAATACATGTATGAAATGTCCTAACATTTTTCCACGTCTAATTTAATATCTGCCTTTTTGGTTTCATCCTGTATGCATTTCTATAGTTCATTTCTTAATGTAGTAATTCTACATTTCTACT